TAATTGGGCATTCAAATTGTTGCTCCCTTGGTAAATGCATCAAAATATCATGTCTGCAGTGTTAAAACTTGCTTTACATTAAAGTTGTCATTGTGACTACTCTTGCAATTTTCAGAAGTTCATTTGCCTTTGTTTCATTTTGGTTTTTAAAATGCATGCATAAAAAAAGTGTGCAATGAGATTTTTTTTTTAATGTACAAAATAAAATCTGGGCTTTTTTTTTTATATTAAATGAACAGTTGCACAATTTAACACCCCTTCACACACACACCAACAAAAAGAACCCTAAACCAAACTAAACCTGACCCCATTTATAAGGTGCCAAGTGACAAACTTTTGTGATTTTTTTTTTTCTGTCTGTTCCCTTTCTTCTTTTCTTCTTCTTTCTATCTGGACTTGGTTTAGTATGGAAGCTTTCCCAGATGGATACTGTCTTTAATTACCATACTGAATATTATGAAAATCTGTAGTATACTATGCAGTTGTTAATCAGAATTGTGTAAGCAGTAAATTAGAATTGTATAGATAGTAAAGCTGAGGTATTAAAGTATGTTAAATTGTAATTTTGTTCTTAAACCAAAGCTCTTATCATGGAACTCCTCTCATTCTTCACTACCTCCTGCTGATGCTTTGGTCTCTGAAGAGAGCTTTTAAATAGTAATGTTTGCAATGTTGTCAAGATACAGGTGTAACTTTATTCTTGTGGTCTGAGGTAGTTACCTGGTTTTGAAAGTTTAGAAAGTGAACCATTTTTTGCACATTTAGTGGATTGAACCAGGTCACTGTGGGATGGAACAATATTATTGCTGGTGCAGTAGTTTTGGTCTGCAAATTTAGTGTATGGAGATCACAGAATATGCCAAGTTGGAAGGGACCAACAAGGATCATCAAGTCCAGCTCCTGACTCTGCACAGGACCATCCCCAAGAGTCACACCATGTGCCTGGGAGTGTTGTCCAAATGCTTCTCAAGAGAGAGGGGAAGCCTTTGAAATTTAGTCCTGTTCCCTGCAGTTTCCTGTTTTTCCAGTTGTGGTATCAGTATGTGTTTATGCTCAAATTACCAAGACATTAACATAATGGGGTTTATAGCAGGGTGTTCTGCTAGATTACTGATGCATGCCTAGTGCTTCTGGAAGACACCTCTTGCTCAAGTAATGCGCTCCCTTGAGTTACCACCATCACTCTGCTGTTGGCTACCTACCTCTGTGTGCAGCAAGCCACACTTAGAATCATTATGTTAAAAATACAGCTTGCAATAGCCTTGACTGAGCCACATAGCCAAGTTAATGTATGTGTGTATAGTGATTTTTTTCCAAGTATTCATTACTTTATTTTTGAAACTATTAAGAACAGTGTCAGTATATTTAGAGGACCAGAACTAAATCGTATATGTTTCTTCTACTAGTCTATGTTAGTAATGATATCAGGTATCCCTAAAAATTAGCATTTGAATGGCAATATACTACCAACAAACAGAACTGAGACAGTGACACTTATCCATGTATCATAGTTGATTGTATCTGATGCCTAAAGAAAAAGTGAACTCCAACTGAAGTTTCTAGTGGCTTCAGCATTTGTATGGTCTCATTAACAAACACTTGCTTTCTCCTAGGGTGTTTATTTCCATCCTTGTAGGCACTAATATACTACTTTCTCTTATTCTGGCTGTTTTCCCATGCCACATGCCATAATAAATGGGGATCTTTATATTTAAGCACATAATTTTTCTGTGAGGTTTGGTTATATAGTAAGCTGCTATTTATCAATGTACTTAATGTCTAGGGATTTATTTTAATGGCTAATCTGTTTCTTTAAAAGCTTCATATTTTACAGAGATGGAACTTGATTTACAAGAAAGAGATTGTACCTCTTAAACTGAATTCATGGCTTTTGAATAATCAGGAGTATGCAAATTGAGGGTATTTTTCGTAAGCCCCCTGTTACTTTCATATATTAACTAATCCTATATTTTGGCTATAATTTGAGGGAAAAGCTGTTATTCCAATGATTTTCCCCCCTATTTAGCTCACAGAAAGTAAGTCGTAAGGGAAGTACCATACTCTGTGCCATGGGTGCTAGCACTGAGATATGTATGCACCCAGTCACTCAGTATTTACCTTGGCCTTAAAGACTGAACCTCCAGGAAAGCAATTTAAATCACCCCAGGTTCATGGGATCATGTTTCTTTTTTTGCTCTTGGGGAAAAGAAAAGGTGTGTTATTTAGGCCTTTGGTTTCTTCTAATATGGAAAATTACTTTCTAGATCATTGTATAGTAATATAACTTGTATCCAGATGGATTAACATAGCATTTGATATTCTTTTCCCCCTCAACTTTTGCTTTCCTCCTTCCCCTAAAAAATCTTCACTTTTTCCCACTAGTTCATTTTCTCTGAATTGCAAACCTCATCTGTGGAGTTCTAATACCAAACTTTGCAAACACTTTGTTTCTCTTTCTTCTGAGAAAATGGCATTGGAAATTTTTTTATGGTAGCTCAAATAGATGTTATGTAGATTTTTATATTGTTTAGTAAATCTTAGATTTACTGCATTTAATCTGTCCTCTGTCTCTCATTGGAATTTGTAGTGGAAATTACGTCTTGCAATGGTGGGAAAGCCATAAAATTGTGATGGTAGTAATTTATATTAGATATATTACAATAAATTGATTTTGTTCCAGTAGAGGGAGATTACTAGTATAGTTTACACATGCTTTTCAGTATATGCATACATGAGTGAGGTAAGAGGATGCAAGGCTGAAATTAATTTGAAAAATTAGATTTTAATTTTTTTTTAGGGGATGAAGTTATTCAGGATGCTAAAAGTACTAAGTGAGATATAGGTGACAAAGTTAATTCTGATAAATGCTGACTGTTTTACATGGGGGAAGTAATTTTTTCATATCCAATAGCGGGCTTTCAGTTATAACTGCTCTGGAGAGAGATATCGGCATTACAGAATATAAATGTTGGAAGGCGTTAGCCCAGTGTCTAGTAATTATCAAGAAAGAAATAAAATGTTAGGAGTTATTCCTTTCAAACAGAAACTCCCTTAATCATCCCAGTGTCATTATGTAAGTCCTAATTGTGTTTTCCTAAACTGCAGGGTTGCCTGTAATGGTGAACTTCCCATCTGTGCAAGATGCAGTGGTTAGAGGAAGTAGGAGTGGTGAGAGTGACCAGCAGTGCCAAGGGGCTTGCTTGGCACCAGCAGAGAACCAGACCAGACCTTTCAAGTCAGGAAAGGTTTAGATGGGGTATGAAGCAGAGAAGGGCTTGCTTGAGAGATCTGTAGAATCATAGTCTCAATAGATAGGGTGAATAGAGGGCATCAGATGAAATATGTGATGTGAAGATTCAAAATAAAATAGAGATAGTTTTTCTTGTATTATGTATTTCAACTGTGGAACTCAGAGAATGTTGAGAATGCTGGTGACTCAGGTTTAATAACCAGCCAAACATAATCTAACACCCCTCTTACCCTGGAAAAATGTGAGGAAGAAAATCTCATCCTTTAAACAGAAAAGTATCACCACTGATTCAAGAAATGTTTGATGCACTGGTTACTGAAAACTGAGAGTATACTCCAGGAAAGTGTCATGTCATCACTCTGTTTTCTGTTGTTCACATTTTCTGTTGCTGAGTGTCAGCAATCAAGTAGTAGGGGAGATGGATTTTGAATCTAGCTGTAACTGATATGTAGATTTGGTTGGTTCAGGAAGATAACATCACTAAATGTGGCAAAGTATGTGCTGCACATTGCACTGCAAGCAACAGAACTACCTAAAGAGCTCAATTAGGTTTATGTCTGTGTTCTGCATGTGTAAATTACTGGTATATCATTTGATTGGCATTAAGAGGAAACTAATATTTGCTTATGGGTTTGAAATATATTATTTTTCTTGGCATCACTCAATTTTGGGAGAAATCTGTATTACTATAGAGAGTTCTTTCATCAGAACTTATATACTAAATGTGTTTCCTAGAAAATGTTATTTTCTACCTTTATTGTTTAAAAGTTCATCTTAAATGGCAAGATATGAAGAGCCTTTGGCAAATATGAACATATGATATTTCTCCGTGAGATTAAGTCTATTTGGTGACTTAATTGTAATTTCCGAAGCATTATACTTTGATTCCTAGGATCAAATAAAAGGTTATAAATAGTCCTCTTCATGTTTTCAGGAACAACTAACCAGCTGGAGGTTTGTTGGTGTGGTTAAACTGAAAGTTGGAAACTCCTCCAGAGGCAGAAGCATTCTTGCTGTATAGCTGCTTTCCCTTTAGTTTCAGAAATACTACTCAATGTTTTAGCTAGTGCTCTGGTATTGTACCTGTGTTTATTTATATGTATTTAACTTATAGAAATGCGTGAGAGTCTGCTTGCGTTTGAAAGAATAAAACATTATAGTGTGTGTGTGTGTTTGTGTATATATATACGAATATAAAATCTTGAAATCTCTTTTCTTTTAACATGTTGTGCCAGATCACATCAGTGCAGTTCTTCTGTTCTTATGGCTACAAGACTTTTTTCCACATCCAAAGAGGTCAAGAGGAATAGCTTCTTTGATCTTCAGACCAGAAAGTCTAACTCTGCTCAATAGCTTCTTTGTATACGTAGGATGTTGGTGGCATATATTTGATAGCAAAGGCCTTTACTTATCAGGCAATGTAGTATTAACTGTTGCTTTACTGAATTGGAATATAAATGTGGGGTTTAGCTGGCCTGTGCCACTTGCCTTTGACTTCTGAAATGTATTCTTACTAGGTCAGGATAGAATTCATAAATACTTTATCCTAATTTTCGTGAATTTTTAACTTTAGAATTTTTTTAACGATTGTGAATGCAAGCCAGTCTCAGGATATTTTAATCGCTTAATTGAACCATGTTAGAAAAGTTTTGTAAAAAGATGCAAAAATTATTTGAAGTTTGTTATCTCGTTCTTCATTCAGTCTAAAAATTTCCGAGAGTGCCTAATTGTTTGGTTTGTTTCCTTTTAGATGAATCAACACCTAAAGAAGTCAGCAGGGTAAGTGCTACTTTCTATCCCCGCTAAAAAGAAGTGTAGTCTCTGAGGCACACAGTTCACTTAAATGATTTTTGCGTAGTCGGTGATCAACCACAAGAGGAAACAAGGGAAGGAATATGCCCTATCTCTCCATTTGAGATGTGATGTGATAGAAATGAGCTAATCTCTCTCATTTAAAATATTTTGCAGTGTTCTGTATGAAATGTAATGCAAAATCCTAAAAAAACATATTCAGTAATAAATTCCCTACCCTAGCCTTATATCTGATTGACACTGTGTCCTGCAGAATGTCTGTCCATGACTGATGACTAATTACAGGGATCTGTTAGAAACAAGTGTCTTTGTTGGGAATGAGAAAAGGTCAGTACAGGACAATCTGTTGCCCTCAGATGGGTTCAGCCACTCTGAAGCACATCATGAGATGGGGTACCCACTTACTTTCTGAGGTGGAATCATAGTCCTGATTTTTTCCACTTCCTGACGAGTTGCAAAATTTATTTCCTATTCCCAGATACAGTAGTGTCAGACATATATTAAAAAATAAGGCTGATCAAAAGACTGCAAAAGCTGACTGAGTGGTCTTGCACTCAGTAGAAGTCCCTTGGAGAATGCTGGAGTATGGAAGGAGTGGAGAACTCAGCCTGGTGGTCTCTATAAGCAGAGGGCTGGCATAAGGGGAAACTGAAGTTCACCTCATATGTGACCATGAAAAAGAGATTAAATGTTTTCTAAATTGAGTATATTCATGCTGAAGTACTCTATATACATGATGTGCCATGGATTTATAAGGGTGTTGGACATGTAGGTGAAAATTATGTTTCAGTAATTCGTTGACTTATGGTTTTTGTTCATCCCTTAGTTTTCAACTGCTATGACAGTTAAATGAATACCTACCAGCGTAACCTAGGGTTATTGTTATTAGTATATCTATACATAATATTTTGATTTCAAACTAATGAAAGATCTGCCTATAAATCTCAGAAGCTCTGGTTATGTATGTGGAAGAAAGTTACTTTTCACTGTCGTTTCTTCGGTAAATAGATTAACATTTACCTAAAACTGTAGAATAGTTATGAAACATATCTTGGTTACCACATTTGAGTGATTTAAGGCAAAGAAGGCAAGTTCTGAAACCCTGAACTGAACTCCCCCAAGTGTGCATTGCCAGTCATCCTTTCTATCTTTTGAACACTCTGGTGGCAGCCATCTCAGCCCCTCAAAGTCATATATAGTGGTTCTGAGTTTTCCAAAAGATGGATGGGATGTGGCTTGAAGCCATGGAATCAGTGGGGTGCAGACGATAGTTTAGATGTTCTAAAGTAAACATTTTCTCCCTTGTTTTTTTAGCCATCAATCATTGTGCACTTGGTTCATATACTCTGTTGCACTGCTGTGTTTTTTTTTTCTTTTGAAGTAAAGTACTTGAAGGCACTCAGTAATGCAACAAGTTTGTTAATTTGTAATTTTTTTTTTTAATAATGCCATATATAATAATGCAGACTGTTGTATTACATCCTCTTCCTTCAGCAGCAGCTTAAACGGATACCAGTTTAATTAAAATATGAGCATGAATTGGAATTTAAATTAGGAAAGTTCTGTACATGAGTAATGTTTTTCAGACAAAAAGACATGTTCATGCTGACTAAAGAATTATGAGTTTTAAAGTCATTAAGTGTTACATTTTTAATTCCTGAAAAAGTCTGCAAGAAGTAGCTTGTATCATGGGGAAGCAAAAATTAAGGTTAATAAAAGGAAATTTATTGCAGAATTAAATCACCAATTGGTTAAGAATATTATGTTAACTAGAAAACAAAGTAGAAATATACTAAGAAAAGTCTAATTATTAAAAGGAAATTTCAGTATTTGCAAGGGGTTTATGTTACAGTTTTACACCGAAAAGTTTTGAAATAGAAGTTTTGAAATCCCATTGTTTAGGAACTGCATTTTTAATATTTCATCATTTTTAGCATCTTAGTAGAAAAATTAACATAAAGCAGCAATCTTGGCTATCAGCAGTACACTACGAGTTTTCAAAACAAGGAGAGAGGAGAAAATAGGCAAAAACAGGAGAAAACATCCACACATTTTAAACCTTGAGATTTTTAGAATAGAAAAGAAGCTTCTCGAAATTTATTAATTTTAATTCTGGTCTACTAATGGCAATTTCCTGAACATTTCTGTGTTCAGAAGTTATATGTAAAGCTTTCATAGTTTGACTTGACATTGCATCTGATGGTTGGTGGTGGGGGAAAATTTCCTGATGCCTGTAAATTGCTTTTGGCATAAGAACAACTCTGGTTACAAAATACCTCATGAGCATCTGTGACCAAACATTGAACCTGTGAACTTTTTTATGCATACTAAATTCCAGTGTTTATGAAATATATGTAACTGGGGACAGAATCTCCTTTTCACATGATGTAGTATTGGGAACATCCTTGGAAATGCTGAGTTCCTTTTGCTTACTTATTGTGCAGATGTGTGTTGGCTGATCCCATCCATCCTAGCTAAGTGGTTTTCTGGGCAGAGAGATTTCAGAAATATTGAACTATTTTGATGAAGAAAATTTAAGCTAATTTTTTTATACTTTGCTTTTTGGTGTTTTGTTTGCAAAAGAAAACATGCAAAATGAAAAAAAAGAAGGGTGTGAGTTTGAGCACTAAGTGTACATTTATTCATGTGCATCTAGACTGAAGATGTAATTATTTGACAGCATTAGTGAAAACAGTGTGCATCGGAGACATGTTATTCTTTTCAGTTGGCAAAAATAATCCCATTCCTTCATGAACTATAGCCAGGATTTTGTTCTACGTGCTGCTAAGTTTCCCGTGATCACTGTGTGCTCTTTTGTACCTAAGATTCTGAAGTTTAAATGGAAATACTCAATGTTCCTGATATGATCACAGAAAAATTAGCTTTTCATTTTGCTTAATAACTTTCCATTCCATGTTTATGTGAACAATACTTTCAGTGAAGCTGCATTTTGGCAAGTATCTTTGCTTTGAAAACTCTGGTGATGCCAACAGCAATTCACTTTGCAGAAGTTTACCGTATAAACACCAGAAAATTATTACCTAGCAAGTGAGTAGCTCATTTACAGTACTTTATTCTTGGAAATAGGAATGATACTTTAATCCTCTTCTTTTCCCTTTTTGGACTTGAAGCTTTTGGCAGCTGCCTTGGCACCAACCAGCACCCAGCACAGTTTGTCACCGACAGTTACAAAATTAGCAAGTGCGTTTGCAGTAAATAGTTGCAGTAATTGCATGTATCTTCACTGTACAACTGATAATAAAAGTTAGGGCTCTTTTTGACGTGTTGGCAAAGCGAGCTCATTCCTTGTAGCATTTCCTTAATAAAGATTGGATTTAAATGTTTTCTCGCAGTATCATAAATGACGACTGTGACAAATTAATCAAAAAGTTAGGGAAACTAGAAAAAAATATATTTAGTCTTTAGAAGTGTTGCAAATGGCATTGTCACGAGAAGAAGATGCTTGTAAAGCTGATTTCTTTAAAAAGAATGTCTTTTGTATACTGTGGTAGTGATAAGCAACAGTGGTAGGAAAATGATGAAGTTTATTTTTAATTTTGTACATGGTGTCTTTAGAGCGCTTGCAAGTCAAGTATTAGGGGGGAATGTAATTTTATAAAAAGCTTTTTAAAAACAGGAGCAGTATTCAGCCTTGTCAAGTTAAAATGATGCTCATTATGCTGTTTTATTATATAATCTGGAAAGATGATATAATTGAGATATTCATGAAGTTTTATGAACCCTACAGTTAACAACAGATTATATGGTTACTTCTATATAATCATAAGGTTCTTGTCTCACAAGTGAAGCCTTTGCTTTTTATTATGTATTTTTCCTATTACTAGTGAAGCAATTTATTTCAGTGTTACCATTTGGCAACAGGCAAGGAGTTGATGGAAAGATTAGAATTAGATGCCAGTAAATGGGGGCTATGTGGCAAGAAGCTTCTTCCAGAAGAGGTATTCACCATCTCTCTGAGGCCTGAAAATCAGCTACATAAAAAGCCTGGCAAATGTGTGCTTTCAGAATTATTGAGTCCTTTCTGTTCAGAATGAAAGAGCTGGTTTGCATCTTTTGTCTTAATAGGACCTGTCCTGACAAATGTCGTGTCATATTTTCCCTTTACTTTTGTCGTGAAGGTGTTTGATGAGCAAACAAACAATTCATAAATACCTCTGTATGGTGTGGCAATGCTAAACTTTATTTACCGTGCAAGTTCTAACCCATGTCCTCTCCAGTCAAAACAAGAAGAATAGACGTCAGACAAATGCACGTAGAAGCAGTTTTCTCTGAGGCTATGTACAAGCATTAAAATTAATCACCTCAGCTAAGTCTGTTTCTTGCTTTCCAGTGTCCAAGTTTAAAGAAATCTGGTTACTGCAGCCAATCCCAGTTACCTCTTTTGATTTTTTTGGAGCAAAGAGATTTTTCTGAGTTTCCTCTCCATGCTCGTTGCTCCTCTGAAAGCCAGCTCTGTACTGTGAGCTTGCTTACCACATTCTTTCTACTTTTATTTTTCAGTTGGAGGATTTGGCATCTTGGCTCGGCATTTTCACCTTGAAGCAAGCAAGCAGTTTTATTAGGGTTTTCTAGGGTTGTTTTTTCTTGTATTTTTTAATTATTTTTTTAAAAATGAAGTCAGTATCCATATTTTTGGTTCTTCAAATGTGCAGTATAGATGTTTTCACCATTCATAGGATGTAGTTATCTCTTAGTTATCTGTGCCCAAAAATAAAACCCACCAGTTTCTGTCCAAGATGTGAACTAGCTATCAGTGCAGATAAACAACACAAAATATCATAGCCAGTGAAAGCACCAGGCCTAAAAATGGCAGGAGTACAAAAGTTAGCAGTACACTTAAACATAAATAGTAAACATTTAGACAACTTAACTTACCACACATAAAAATGACCCGAATAAATAGTTTTTTTTGGTTTAATTAAATAGGTTGGGGGTTTTTTTGTTTG